TGAATATAGATGTTTTGCAGGCTCTTTTTAGAAAAAGTACTCATTATTCTGGGCAGTGCACAAACCACAACCTCAAGTGAGTTCTGGATCTCAAGCAATTACCCTTCTCCTATAAAAAACCTGAAAACATACTCCTGTGGATATTTTTAGACTCCTCTTCCCCCCGCCCCCCCTGCATGTGAGAAAGAGGGCTATCGCTTGCCATATAATCACAGGGAAGAGGGGTCTTGTGCATTGAGTCCACCAGCTGGAATGACAGCCGTGGTGGGAGATGACAGCAGGGGAAGGCAGGTAGCACCTAGGACACAAAGCCCTGCCAGGTGCCAGCTCTTCTGGCCGAGCAGCTGTGTGCCATCCCTGACTCCCACGCCAGAGAGGCACCATGTGGAATTTGGTGCTCCTCTTTGGAGGGGGAGGAAAAGGAGTGCAGAACTCGGTTCTCTGAATCTGATACTCGATATGTAAGGTTTGACGGGTTGAGATTTTAAAATTTCAGTCTTTGAATTAAAGAAGTAATAGTATGTTTGATATCAAGGCCGGTACCTGTAAAGAAACTATGATTTTTACTTCAGAGGTCTGTATTCTGACATAATTGTTAGGTATAATGATTAGACTACTTACCTGAGACCTCAAAAAGCTCGATTTTATTCCCAGCTCTGCCGCTGGCCTAGGAGATTGTTTCGAGCATGTTGCGTCTGTGCTTAAGTTTCCCTGTCCTGTAACAGGTACAGTGAGTATCCCTAGTTTTATCCGATTGCTTCAGGATTAATGTGGTAATCCTGATTAATGGGTAATCCCATGTGCTTCTTCAGTGCCCATGTTGAACTTTTATAGCGATTCTTGGACTGTGTCAGGTTCCCTGGGCACTCTTGTTTGGTGGGTGACCAGCTTTAATGTCAGGTTTTTCTTTTATTGCATTTGTGGCAAAAAAGGCACATCTGGATTGAGAATCAAGTACATACACTAGATGTTTCTGCTAAAGCAGTTGATGAAGAAAGGCTTGGGAAAGTCTTTAGGATATATTTGCCAGAGATATGAACGGGACAGTTCAGAACTCGTAGAGCTTTTGTTTTGTGCTGGTACTAACAAGAGCATACAGCAATTTAAATTCAATTATCTCTGTGGCCGAATGGGCAACAAATATATTTTGAAGTGAAACTTTCTATTTTGGAGCGTAGTGTTGTGGAAGGAAGTAGGTTCTGTAGCAGAGCAATTAATGAACGGAAGAGACCCAGGCTTAATTGGCTTAATTCTGCTTGACCAGATTTCAAACCAGATGGCATTCGAAATTATGACAACAGTGGCATTTTTAACTTACAGGACTGAGTTGTGGAGGTTGGGATAGGGATATACAAGTAAAAGACGAGGAAGAACATCTGGAAAACTCTGGAGAGAGGGCACAAAATAGTAAAAATATTTTTGAGAAAAGTTAGAGCAATAAAATTTCATTCTAATTACCTAATAATAAGGCAACTTTAAAGTTGAGATTACACTGACAGTTGGTTGTCATGATTACTATATGTACTGTAATATGTACTAAAGGCTGATCCATTTCAACTGTAGAACTGTTTTCAGCCTACTCCCACTGTGGACCAAAGGCTTGTCTAGAAAGGTGATTTAAAGTACCTGAAATCTGTTCCACAAATGAAAAAGTTACATGACAAAGAAAATTTTGATAGTGTAACTGCATTGAGATTAGGAGCTCATTTGTCAGTGGTGGGATGTTTATATTTTTAAGTAATGTTGCTGTGTTGTTACAACTATTTAGTGCAGTTAAAAATGTTTATGGGAAGTATTTTATGCCCATATGGGACGTATAAGAAACATTCATCTTGATAAAGATTTTACCAGGATAACTACAGGATGTGTCTTGTGCTCAACCAGAATACAAAAATGGTGTAGAGACCAAAACTTGGTGGTTTGTGCAGGACTTTTCTAAATCACCCTTCCTCAAGCCTGACTTAACCATGAATGCTGATAGTTACGCCTCACATCTGAGTCATGTGCCATATAATTTCCAGATAAATTATGAAGTTACTTGCAGAGCCTGGGTCTGAGCTTGGGGCTTCTGCGAGCCCAGCTATGCGTACACCAGAGACGCGTGGAGCGGTGGCTTGGGGTAAATGGCTTTGGTAGGAGCCCACAAGGAAGGTGCAGGTATGCTGCCATGTTGTGCTTTTTACTCTTCTCTTGCTCTTGGAGAGGGTTTTTCCTACTAACTTATGCTTTGCCAGCACAATTTCCATGCAAGGAGCGTTCAGTGATGTAGAGCCGATTACGTACCCTGGCAGAACACTCCTAGTCTAGACACCTCTATCTCCATTTACATACTGATGGTGTAAGTCACTCAGGAGAAAATGAGTAATAATCATGAAAACCAGTCACAAAACCATCATAGCCCACCTTTCTAGTGCTGGAAGTACTCATCACCATGGTGTTGTCTGATTGGCATATAAAGCCTGTAAGAAGCAGTACGTTTATGTTGTTATTATTATGACTGTCTACTACTGAAGGGAAAAGAAGTCTGTATGGCTTGTGGTTTGGAATGGAAAAGAAGAGGCATTTTCTAAAACCACTAGATAATCAAATTAAAAAATCTTTTTAATTGTTCCAGCCCTAGAGCTAGTTTTGGGCAATATGGGACCAATTAGATTATTAAAACCACAGTTTCTGATCTCTATCAATTATTCTTACAGCTTGAACAGCCTAAGCCTTTAGGAAGGTGATTTCGCTTAGGTGTCTGTGGCTCCATCACCTCCCTCAGGTACAGATACATCATTAAGGGGATGCTTCAGTAATGCCACAGTTAAATAAGTTTGTGCTTAAAATGGAGTTTAAATCTTTAATTAGGAAAGGAAAAAAATGTTGTCTGCTCCCTTCACCATTCTTTTTTTTTTTTTGCCTAAATAGAAGACAGTAGGTCTGGGAGACCTATTGAATTTGACTGCATGCACAACAGATACAAAAGATTTCCCTAGGCCAGTCTGAGGCTTATTGTATTTATTGCACAAGAAGCCAGGATCCTTGCTGGAGAAAGAGAACAGGAGATTGTGAACGTTGGTGGTGGTGCAGTGAGATTCTTTTTTCCCCCTGCTTGTGGAAGCTGTAGGAATGCTGCTGTGCCAAGCAAGGGTTATGCAGTGTCTTTATCTCTCTGGCCCGTTCCCTCTCACTGCTGGTACCCTGGCTGGTGAGTGCCTGGGGCCCCAGTGGGACTCTTCAGCCTTGGTGCTGCTTGTTGTGCTGCACATTAAGGGCTGAAGCCTGCTGGGACAAGATGTGGTGGTACAATTAAAGTTGTTCTCATGCTTCGAGATACCCCTCCAAAAGTAAGTGTGAAGTGTCTGCAGTAAAAAGTGGTTTTGTGCGAGTGTCTGAGGCTTTAGGGTGTTAGAGGAGTGTGCCCTGTGAATTGAAACTGGCCTAGAAATGTCTTAACTCCTGAAGGTAGGTTTGTTCGTAGAAGTATTGTGTTATTAAATCAACCGGTATGGTTAGAGGAAAACAAGACAGATGATCCAAAAGGTCTGCATATCTAAAAGCTTGTTTGCTTTTTTCAATTATATGTATTGACCTAATAGAAGATACTACGTCTTTCTACAAGCCTTGAATCTGTTCTATCCTTAGACAGCACTGTTTCTTGACTAGGTGACTCTTACAGGTTAGGATGGTAATTGTGTTGATAAGAAATACGGTTTAACAAATGGAAATTTTTGTGAAGGGAATTTCTGTGGTTTTTTGTTGATGTTTAAATTTCTAAGGCATTTAAACTGCAGGTATTGCAAGAAGTCTGGGTAAGTACATTTCAATACACCTTTTTTAGCACAAGAAGCTACAGGACTCACTGAAGCATTTCCAAGAAGCACAACAAAACCTTTTTTTTCATCTTAAAGCATTTAATTGTGCGACTGCACATAGTGATGATGAAATCACTGTCTTAGTTGCACTTTAAAATCCTAACAGATAATTTCTTTAGTTTATAGTTAAAGCACAGTTGCAAAATGGTTCACTGTTTAACATGAATGTTAGTAAGTAAGAGACTATTGCCTGAAAGTTGTACACATACCTAAGTAAATGTCATACATATGTGGAGAGGTAATATGAATATAATTGGTATTCAAATTGGTATTCAAAGTAGTAGAAATCGGACAAGTCTATAAGATATATTTTAAAATCTATAGCTCTGTATTTTCCAAGCATAGGAAAATCTACTGTGAAATTGTTTAGCCAGCTTGTCCTTTTTCCTGCATCAGGTGTGTGGCTGGTGGGGAAGAGGGATTAGGCAACTACTTGCTTTCCTGTCCAAGAGCTCTGTCTCCTTTGAAGGTGCCACTTTCCCTTTTGTAAAAGGGGAATGGGCCAGTTGTTCTGCTTCTGTGCTGCCAGTATATGCAGCTTGGGATGAAATTACGGCACCCCAGGGAAGCAGCCTCTTACCATTCTAGGTTAGGGACAGATTTCTTCCTTCTGAAACAATGGGAGAAGCAAGGCAGAAATTCTCTCATTTGTCCTTTGTTTCACACAGCCTTTTCTTGAAACAACCTGTTCATGCAGCTTCCTGGGGTCAGAGTACCTCTTCATCCAGACTTCTGTGATTGCATTGTTTTAAGTAATTTTAATGTTTTCCATAAAACTAGTAATTACTGCAGTGTTTTAGCTTTTCTGTTTTAGATGCTCTTGTTCAGTAGTTAATGAATGAAACTCTTGACAGTCATTTGCAGAGAGTGGCTCCACTTCACTGCCCTGTTTTCCAGATAGCCAGATGACGGAGAGAAAAGAAGAAATGATGGGAACAGAAAAACACTGTGAGCAACTTCCTAAACAGGAAAGATCAGATGTACAAAGCCAAGATCGTGCTAGTACTAGTCCAGTGCTACCAGAGTCTGCCAAATTTGCAGCACTGTAAGGCCAGTTTACTTTTCAACTTTGTACTTCAAAGATATGATGTAAGCTGTTTTGTTTCACCGAGTAGAAATGACATAAACTTTTAATTAACCTCTCTTTCTTTTTGTTTTATTGAGAACAAGAAAAAAGTTCCTCATAGTAGTTTTGAAACATTTTTGTGTCAAGTTACCAGGGCAACAGGCAAAGGCAGATAATCTACCGGGTAACTTCTCAGCAAGACAGTTCTGTCTTGCAAGTAATAAGTGGACCTGAGGCATCCGTGCAAGATGAGCTATCCGTGGATGCAATGCACGTGTTCATAGATGAAAATGGTGAGTTTCTGTAGATGGAATAATTACAATGTGTGGGGAAGTTTCTAAAGAAACTTTAGAAGCCCTGGAAGGATACTTCCAGTCTGTTACCAATTACGTGTTTTTCTGTGCGCATGAAAGAAAAGGGCTTAGTAATTTAAAGTCAGATTGGCAATAACTAGAGTTTTCAAAATCCACCAGCGACCATCACAGACCTGAGGCTTACACAGTGCATGAAGTTTGTCTTCCAAACACTGTCCTCAAAAAATGCTGGCTAGGCCAGAAGACTACTTCTATCTTTGCAGAAGAACCCCTGGCACTTTCTGCCTGGTGAGGAGTTTTGCATTGGCCTGGCTGGGCAGAATGTTCCTCATTTTTACTGTTTTGTTCTTCATCTGTCTTGGACTGAACTCTGATAACGTGGTGGTTGCTCTCGTCCAGAGTTGTGGTCTACTACCCCTTTCAAGAGAATTAATGAGTCACCTAGTCTTGCCCCATGCCTGTGCTCGGTATGCTGCTGCTGCCATTCCTAGAGGCTGAAGCTGCAATATACGTGGTGGTGGTTTGTCGAAACTCCGTGTAGTGCCCCGTGAGGTACTGGCCCATACCTCTGAAAGGCAGCTGTCCCAAAAGCCCTATTTCCCTTAAAGCTGCCTTGAAAACCAGTGTGGAATGAGTGCTCGTGGTAGCTGGGTTTGTGACCCCAGAGATGCTTTGGTTTTCTGCCAATTCCTCCTGGCCCTGCTTGCAGCCTAGCAGCTCCGGGTGTGCTGTGGGGTCGAGAGCAGCAGCTGCTGGTCGGGCAGATGGCATGAACTCTGGGGCAATGAGCAGTGAGCCTTTGCTTTGTGCTGCATATGCAAGGAGGGAGTAGCAGAATTTTTCCCTGCTTTGTACCTCTTGCCCTCACCTTTGTGAACCAAAAGAAAAAAATCTGATTTCACATTCTATGGTGAACTTTTATTGATAGGCGGGCTTTGCATTTACATACCTTTTAAATCTTCATTGTAACTTCTCTGTTTTGATTTGTCTCAGATTTTCAGTTGTTGAAATGTTAATTTACTTTCTGAAGTCTAAAATAAGCCTAGTGCACAGACTGAAAACTGTATTTATAAATATGCCTGACCTAAAATGTATTTTCTATAAAATTTGTGTGTAAAAGAAATGATCGTATCACTGAACTGATTTTTTTTTTTTCCCTTCTATTTTCTAAAGGGGAAATTAGGTCCTGTTATTTAAAGGCTGGCTGTCAGAAGGAAGGAAATTTTCGACATCAGCTATCAAATTGTGATTGTATTTCAAATGCTCAGTAAGTAAACTCTTATTTTTAGAAAAGTTTAAAGTTTTCATTGCTAGAAGCTATGAAACTGATTGTAGCTGTGGAAGATGCATGTGAAGAGGAGTACTGGAGAATAAATGTGCTAAGATCTCTAGAAGAGAGCATGCATTTTTTGTTTTGTACTAAAACAGTGGCTGCTTTATAAGAATGTTGATAAGGAAAAGTGAAAAAGAAAACCAGAACTATCCAGTGTGCTTTCATTACTTTCTGCAAATAGCCAAAGTCATGTCTGGCAATTATAAATAAGATTGTAAATAAAACAAAGTAAGTGGGACTGTTACCAGCTATACTCTCAACCTTGTCTTGCTCGCTTCCCACGCCTGTTGGGGCCTTTGTAGATTTTTCGTGCTGTGTCAGTATCAGCCAGTGATACTGCTTCCTGTGGATTCTAGCAGCAGAGCCTTTCAGCTTGCATGAAATATCTAATGATAGTTTGCCACTCTGAAAAGGTATCTAAACAATTTTCTTTTTTTCAAAGGTCCTTTTGGAGCCATCCACATAAATCCTGTATTCATTACTGTGGTTTCCACACTCTCCTATGTGATCTGTTGTTTGCCCATCTGTAAAAAGAATTTTAATGATTCATAAGTGTTTTTATTAAATAATTTTGTTTTTCATACTGTTATACAGCATTTGGAAAAGTTGAGTGAGGGGATGAGAAGGGTCATTGTTAATAGTAAATATTGTTCTTCAAGTGTGTGGCTTTCAGTGGAGACTTTTGAAAAGCTTGGGACCATGTTACGAACAGTGTTAGCGTTTTAGATGGAATGCTATTACGAGACATGAGAATAATGATTTTAATGGTCAGTGGGCAAAGATTTTAAAAAAAAAATATTTGAGTTTATCTACAGTAGAAATGTTCTGTCTGTCTTTAGTAAAATCAAAAACCCCAACCTGGTAGAGGTCAGTTCTGACCTAAAATCAAACATTTTACTTTGGAACTATTTAACTCTTGCAACTCTCTTCATTTCACCTTGCACAGAATACTGCCCTCCTCCCCCATCATATAACTATGGGCTTGAATTTGTCCTAAATTCAAAAATAGTTTACTGTCCCTTGACATTATCAGTTAATCTGTTTTTTATCAAAAGAAGAACAATCTTCCTTCTCATAAGAATTCCTTCTGAATCTGTCTTTGCTAGATGCTATGTGACATCTCTGTCTTCCTGTACTATGTTAAGTGCTGTTTTTTAGTTTATGGTTTGCAGACCTCTAGGAATGTGGATTATTTTTAAGGGGTCTGCTAAACACTGACGACAAAAGCAACTTCAGATATTCTTTGCGACCATTTACATGCATTTATTTCCAAAGATCAGCCCCTTTTCCAGAAATCTTGGAGTACAGGGGCAGTTCAGACTGGAGACCAGAACAAATGAGCAAAGACGAGTGGGTTCCCAGGACTGTTTCTGTATGGGAGTCAATGGGAAGACAGAACACAAGAGCTCTTCCCTTCACACTACTCTGTTCTTGGAAGTACAAAGCAGTTCACATGAAAAACAAGGAAAGAAGACAAGGAAGTATGAAGTGTGGTCAAGTTGGTTTTTGCAAGGGCAGTTTGTAATGTGTTTAGGCCACAGAGATTAGCGAAAGCTGTTCGATGGGTGGTTCCTACCATCTGTGCACAGATTGAAGGGCAGCATGGGAAGAAAAGGGTTTTTTTGTTTTTCTTCAGGTGTTCACTATCAAGTAGTTTTGTATTTAGACAATATGGAACACTTACAGCATATAGAAAATAGAGGGGGAAGTCTGCTTTAAAGACAGTTCAGGAATGAGACATCTTTCCTTCCTCCTTTCCCCTATCCCCACCTGCAGGCTGGCACATCACACATGTCGGGTTAGTTCCATGGTTAAAGATAAGCCAAATAATCACAGTTATTAACAAATGATCTTTTTATTACTGAAGAAAAAGGCAAATAGAATAAAATAAAGCACAAGGTGTAGTCAATGATCGCTTCAGTTACAGTCTCTTCTATATGTCTGTCTGGAGAGCTTTTGACAGAAATTATTCCCTTGAGGGTGAGCCCTCCTCTCTGGAGATGTTCATTGTGTGAGTAGTCTGTACCAACAGGAGATGCTGCTGTTATGAAAGGATATTAGAAAAGAGACATGGAAAGCACCTCTGAGATGTCCTTGGTTTATCTCCCAGCCCATCAGAAAGTTGACTAAGGAGAAGACAATGACTCTGACAGTAGTTCATGACTACTTGAGATGGTGCAGAAACAACAGCTTTAGGCTTGGTGTCTAAATCCATTCATGAGCCATCCAGACTAGATTTTGTGGGGTCAAAGGATGCAGGACATAAGAGGTAGCATCCACTTTGAATGGGAAGGGTAGGGTTTTGATCTCTGGGAGTCCAGGTTTCAGAATCTAGAATAAGCTTATGGAGAACAATAGATAGGTCTGCAGTAGATGTGTATAAGCTCTTAAAACACTTTACACCAATCACACTTGCTTTATAGTGTTAAGATTAAGCTGCTCCTAAAGGGAAAATGTCAAACTGAGTTGAGGCAGTGGAGTAACTACGTGGATGTGCATGGACCATGCTCTGATGTGCTCCTCTACACGGAGCAGATTTGCCTGGGCCAGGTGATGGCAAGAGGCCTCTGTGTGGGGAGAAGCAGCAGGTCAGAAGGGCTGTCATGCTAGGAGCTGGGGGTAACACTGCAGCTGGGGAAGGGGGAAGGAATTTTGACTGGGGAGGGTATGAACTCTCACTGGTTTGTCAAGAATAAAGTAATTGCCTTATGATTTGGCCATAAGTAAATACCTTTTAATTAAGTTATGCAAAACTGGAGAAGGTATTTAAATATTACTCAAAAGAAGCCATTAAAGAAAGCCTTGAGGCAGACTAACTAGTGTTTAATGATCTTAAATTCAGATTAAACTTGCTGTTTCTGTCTATTGAGTTCTACAATTGTCTGCTCCAGTACTGAAGTCTTAACTGGTCTGGCATTTCACAACAGATTATTAGAAACTAAAATTAAAGTAGTGTTTCTATGGCCTGTAAACATCTTATCTTCTTGGCATAGCTTCTGAAATACATTTCTCACAAATAATGCAAAATCTTAACAATGCTGCTCTGTCACAGAAGTGCTGCTGTGTTATGGTTTTGGGTTTTTTTTCTCTTCTTTGCTTTTGCATGCTTCCTGCTCTTCCTTTGCTTCTAAAGGGCTAGGTGGACAACAACAGATTACTATGTGCCAGAGGAAGTAGATGTCCCAAGTTTGAAGGAGTCTGTGCTTTCTTCCTTCAGAGTCTCCTTGACATTGGAAACAATACTGTTTGAGGGAATTATACTTTGTCTTGTTACATGTCGGTGGTCCATTACCTCATTTTGGCTCTACAGTGCTGTGAGATCATCTTTGGAGTATTCTTCGGTTTATCAATGCTAATAAATATTCCATGAGATTCTAATTTTTTTGTTTGTTTCACTGTTTGCATTTTCAACTATAATAGTTGTCCTAATGAAAGATATTGGTTGGATATTAGGAAGAACTTCTTCACTGTAAGAGGCATTGGAACGGGCTCCCCAGGGAGGTGGTGGACTCACCGTCCCTGGTGGCGTTCAAAAAACGTTTAGATGTGACACTTCGAGACATGGTTTAGTGGGTTTAGCGGGCATGGTGGCATTGGGTATACAGTTGGACTTGATGATCTTTGAGGTCTCTTCCAACCATAATGATTCTATGATTCTATATTACCTGTACCTGCAGTCCTTGTCCTGGAAATTTTCAGAGCTTCTTAAATGTAGCATAAACAGTCTCTTCTTAATGATTTCTAAAACTGTCCCTTAATTCTGCCCAAGGTTACAGAGAACTCGAATTATTTCAGATTGACTCCATATTTGTCTCTCGCCAAATTGTCTCTCAGTGGTCCAGCAGTCCAGCTTTTAAAATGTATAAAAACTTAAGTTAGCCAAGTTAAATTTAAAGAAGTTTTTATGTTGTAATGATCACAAAAAAAAAAAATCTTTTTCCATCTTAACCTTTGCTTTGACAGGTGATTCTTGTTACTGATTTTGGTAAGTTATTTAAAGATTGGCAGGTAGCTAATCAATTCCCCAATTATTGTCCATGTAATTACTCTGAGTCCACTTTTGTCTGTTATCTTGCCAGCAACACCTCTTGCCAGCAGTCCCTGTGGAATGGGTTCCCTGCTGAGCTAATTGCCTATAAATGTGATGCTCCCATTACCTTGCCAACTTCACCTCTAGCCATAAATTGCTTTGTGACAGGCTTTGACAAGAAAAAGTCTAAACCGTGTTCTCAGCTCATGGATTACGTTAGAAACTAGTTACAGAAAGACCATTTGAATCTGTTTTGGAGTGAAAAATTGGAAACAGCTTTCTCATCCTGAAAACGGTTCTTCTGCCCGATCACATTAAATTCTTTACCAGCCTTTGTCTCTCTTACAGTGAATCCTTAATGTTTCTATGATGTGTGTTTTGAGTATGTGCTTGCCTTCTGGGAAGGCAGATGAGGATGAGAAGGTTCACGTTTGCGTTAGAACGGGTGCCTGGTATGAGCATGAACTGCCTTTTTGCATGGTTAATTTGACTTCTCACCAAATGGCCACTAGATTTACATCTTGCCTGTATAAAACAGTTACAATTTCAAGTTAAAATTCTTCTGGTTAGATTGGTGATACAAAGTAAAACCCACAATCATTAGCAAGAACACATCCTTAAAAAGATGAGCCGAAAGAATGTCTACATTAAAGCATTGTTAGAGGTGCATAGCTGTTTTCTGGGGTCAGGAGAAACAAGTTGGAGTTGATAAATGTCTTAATAAGGAGGTGTGACTCTGACACACCTTTTCTGTCTGCCGCTCTGTGACAGAAAGCAGACATTTCCCAGGAATTTCTTTAATTACTTCGAATGTCTCTTGTAGTTAAATAACTGAGTCAGTTTTGATAAGCAATCAAAAAGATAAATGTGAGCTATCATGTTATCTAGGCATTACATGTAAAGT